TAGAAAAGGTCAGAAATTGAAACTTGAAGGATAAGGTGATTTCAACATGCAGTTTTGAGCAGAATGTAAGAGAAAAAAGAACTTGAGAGATAATTCAGTGAGAATGAATAACATTCAAAATTCCCAAGGTATAAAATCAGTCATTCTACCAAAGCTAGTAAATAAGATTAGATTGTATTGTGCAAATGAGTTTAAGGCTCCTTTCCATTTTTTTCTTCTAATATATTTAGTGTGCCTGGTTTTGTTAAGATCTATGTTCCACTTGGACTTTGGTTTTGTGTAGGCTGATAAATATGGATCTATTTGCATTTTTGTACAAGTAAACATCCTGTGAGACTAGCAACATATGATGAAGAATATATATATATATATATATATATATATATATATATATATATATATTTCTATTGTGTGGTTTTTGATGCTCTCAAAAATCAAGTGTCCTAGAGGAGGACATTGCAGCCAGTCCTGATGAGACCTGATAAACTAGGGTCAGATGGAAGGGGAGGAGGACCTCCCCTAGCAGTGGACTTAGAGAGGGGGAGGGAGGAGATGAGAGAAGGAAAGTGGGATTGGGAGGGAATGAGGGAGGGAGCTACAGCTGGGATACAAAGTAAATAACCTGTGATTAATAAAAAAATAAAAATAAAATATTTAGAAAAAGAAGATTAGATTATATGATGGGGAATAAGAGAAGGTAGTTTAAGGGTAAGATGAATAAACAGATAATTTTAAGTCATTTGAGGGGAAGATAGAATCCTTGAAAGATGCTGATAAGGATCCTGATATAACTATAACTTCAAGTTCAGCGTGTCCCTGTGGCAAAACTATGGAAATTAGTTTCAAAAGATGGGACAACAAGAAATCTAAGCCATTTTGGTGGAGGTAAGCTGATCAACAGGCTTGCCAGAAATGTGTCGAATATGCTATATTCAGTACCCAAACCACAAAAGACCAAGTCAACAGAACTCTTCCTCCTGACTACTACAGCAGTTGAGGTGTTAATGAGCTCTAAACTTGGTAAGACATGAAATTTCAAGTAAAATCAGATAATCCTCCTGCTAGATCCTAAATGTTATGAAATTTTACGTCTTTCTTACACTGGTCCCTTTGAAATTTAGACTTTCTGTCAAGATTCATCAATTTCTGTCTCTTCCATGGACTTTTGTCTCCAACATAAACACTAAACTCCACTCTAAAATATACCATGCTAACTTGTCCAAGATGTGTCAAATGAACTTATATTCCCCATGATAAAATCCTTTCTTTAGTTATCATCTCAGGGTTCAAGAGTTTCCTCCTTTCTCAAGGGCCTACTTCAACCCTCAGTAATTTTCTAGCACAGGGCAACTATACTTTGACTTTCTTCTTCTGCAAACTCTTACTGTGTTTCCAGATTTCACAGAGAAAATGCACTTTCTGTATAGGAAGATTCTGTATCTTAGGCTTGTATATATAATTTAGGTTTTTTTCAGCAAAGGTTTAGACAAGCATTAGAAACTTATACAGGCAAGAGTGTTTAATGTAGGTGTATCTTAGCAACACATAAAGAAAGTTTACTTCCTGTGTCTATCCCATGAACTACTTTCTCAGTCAACAGCCATAATCTTCCAACCTCTTTTTCTGAAATAAATGAGGTGAAGTGCCAAAAAATCAGGAAACCTAAGAAATTAAAATCTTATAATTCCAGATTACTATTTCTAACAAGAATCTCAAATGCTTAAGTAGACTTTCATCACTTTCTCTATATTTTTGTAGAAACAATTACATTTTGTTTCAAAACAAATGTCTATATAAGGATTTTGAGTTTGATTCACTAATGCTGAGGTTAGAATTTAATAGACACCAAAAAAGCAGCTTGTCTTCCTAACAAACTATATTAATGTTCATTTTTCACAAAGGGACAACTCCAGCATACCTATATAATTATAATACCAGTTTTGTCCCTAAATCATAGTAAACTACTAAATACAACTCCCTATGTTTCCTATCAGTTACTCAATGCTATCCTTATGTATATAAATAATTTGTGTAAGAATTCGGATTTTTATTATTATACCCTCAACAGATCAGGAAATTGACTTTCAGCAGTATTAAATTTTTTTCTCCAAGTCCAAGAGGTATTGCAACTTCATTTGTAATAAGATTCTTCATAAAACTAGAGAAGGCTGAAACTCTCCATTTCCAAACAAATTTTTGCATGTAAAAAAAATATTTTAAGATGCCTGTTATATGGAATATACTCTCATTAAAGATAAAAACAATGCACTTCTTTCTCTAGTTCTAGCACTTTAATCTATATGCACTATGCATATATGGCAAATGACTACCTATAAGGGGTCATCAAGGTACTGCCCATCTGGGTACTGTCATATCAAAATCAAGGGTTTTTATGAAGTTTTTCTTTTGGACTCAAATCATCGTAGACTGCAGAGAGAAAATCGGGGGCATTTTAATCTTAGTTTTGATAGCAGGAGTGTTGAGTCGAGCCAGACTTGTAGGATAGGGAACACTGAAAACAGTAGACCATAATTTTGAAAAAAATACTGCATTTAAATCAAAGAGACTTTGATTCTAAAAGTCAAATACAAATTCTCTATGTTGCTGTAATAAGACCCTTCCTTTCATTGCCTTATTATTAAAATAAGACAATTGAATTCAATGGTCTTTAACTCTGTTCTAAGTACTAACTTACCTTGTCTGTATGTACACAAACTTTAACACTACTAGCACTGCCACTAGATGCCATCAGCATCTGGCAATTGTAATGCAGCCATTACCCCTTATGAGCACATAAACTTAAAGCATTATAGACATGTATGTAATTGTCAAAAATCATTTTTGAATGATAATCACAAATAATCATATCAAATAATACCATCTAATTGAAAGTTGAGGATACTAAGACTCAAATAATAAGTCCCATTTCCCTAAAGCTATTAAGGTGCATACTCAAAGTATGGAAATTCAGTTCTAGAATTAAGTTTTTTTCATCCCCTAAGTACCATGGCTGTGAGTCCTCACCCTCTCAGCTCTCCTCTTTTTAATCTCTTGTTATTAAGAAACCAGCTCAGCTTAACAAACCTGTTTATCAATATTACTTTTATTTTCCTTAATAATAGGGGCATAATAATAATAATAAGTCTGTGGGTTTGTCATCATGAAGGAAGAGACATTTAAAAAGAGAAAGAAGTAGATACATGTCAGAAAAAAACAAATTTTTTGTCCTAATTAAACTGCTGAAATTATAGATCTCCACATGATTTTTGGTGACTGGATACACGATAGTTGCAAAGTACCAGTGCAATGGGGTAGATTGTTCTGAGTCCAGGATTTGGTTTTCACAATCAACAGCAACCTTACATTGTTTTGTTTGTTTGTTTGTTTGTTGAAAGAAACAATCACTTTAAAATTCTGATCTGAACCTTAAATAAACTTTTTGGAAAATTTAATTAAATAAAAGGTAGAACGCCCCACCCAACCATTTTCCATGATCATAGAAAATTGTCTATTATGTGATCTCACAGCAAACATCTCTGTGTTCTTTGTTAGAACCGTGACACAGACTTCATAGGAAGCTAACTTACTTATCTCAAACACAGATAGCCACCAAGCACCACCCCAAACTTCTAAAAAAAAAAAAAAAAAAGTGCTCATTCACTTGGCATTTTTTGCTCCTCCACTACTAGGATATAGCAGTCCATACAGTTTGAACTAAACAACTTTCTATGTTAGACCCTAAAAAGAACTCTGTTTGACCAAAAAAGGGACTGTATTCAACAGGAGACATCACAAATAGCAACTGTCTTAAATGTATGACCTGATTATCAGTACAGTTTATACAATTAGCAACCTAAGTATATTTGCATATCATCTACCTCCATACCGTACCCTGTGTTTTAGTTTTGCATAGATAAATCCCTCAGGTAATACAAATAACAGTGACTCACCTCATCTCATTTAAACGAGCAAAATAAGGATACACTCATTTGAAGAATTCAAAGAATTGAGACTGTCTTCTCCAAAAAAGCAAAGCAAACCTATCACCATTGTATCTAGACTAATTCTGGAATCAGCTAAACACAGTCTACAGTGGAGAACTCCCCAGATAAGCTTGCTTTTGGCTCACTACTGCTAGCTCCACTCTTAAGACCAATCACTGAAAAGATGTGTCCCATTTTTTGGACTTCTATCTAGAAAGACTGAGGTTAAGACAAAAATTGCCTGTTAAAGAATCAGGGATTATCTCTGAACAAACTCTGGAATTGTCTAATACATTATTTTCCTAATATGAACATCTAAAGGGTCAGAGGCATATTTACAATATTTCTGAGAGACACAGGCTTCTGTACAGGAAAATGAACATGAGTTTTAAGACTTGGTGTCTAGCTGTAATTCTTCCACTAACTACCTGAAAAGTCTTAAACGGTTTCACCCCACTGACTCAGATAATTCAACAGCGAAAATCATGAGATTTTTATCTGTACAGCTATTTTGGCTCCGAAATACATCATCTGACACTCTTCTTTGATCCTAAAGGAAAATACTATTTGTCTCAGTATCTCTGCAAGCTAAGCTTACCATTAAGAGCTTAAATCTAAAACTTGTCCTACGTAACCGGATAAATTATATACAGCAGAAGTTCAATTCCTCTTTTATTGCCTATGTATGTCAAACTGTCCCAAATGAGACTAAATGCAACTTTGTACTTACTCTTTGTGGCATCCACCCTACAGAAAGTCCATTTAGCAATCAGTGACTTATATCACACACTACACACTGTTCTTGTGACAGTGGAGGCTTATAACATTAAACTTCATTTTGAACTCTGCCTAGACTCAAAGGCAATCACATTTGTTCCCTCTGTAAGAATCCTGAGACAACCAGAGAGCATTTCTTTCAAAGCACTAGCTCCAGGTCCTTTCCTGTCCTGATCTTCCTGTCTCCATCAATCCTCCCAAACGGAACCTCAAACTTATAGGTGCTGGGCTAGAACTTACCTTGATGCTGAGCTGGGATAAGGAATCTTGTACCTTTGCAAGGAGACAGGAATAAAAAAAATACAACTCTGGGCAGCACACAAATATCCTGCTGATAACTGAAAAAAAAATTAGTTTTGAAAGAGGAAGTTGAGCACATTGTTGTCTCACCACAGAAACCTTACTTGCGCAGAACGAAGGTAAGTCCCTTGAGCAGATGACGCGAGTCAAGTTTGATTTCTTCTTTATTTCACTGGTGCTGCACAAACAACTAATACACCTTGCCTTCATAACTGTTACCCACCTTATTTTCTTCCACCACAACCCAAATTATTTTCTTACTATATTGCAGTAGGTTTTGTGTCAAGAAAAGATGTTTTAGCCAAAGAAGAAGAAAGCTTAACTAAGAGCTGGCAAGCTGCTGCTTTTTCAATTCCAGGAGGCAAAGGCTAAGGAAACTTCAAAACACATGTGAAAACTAATAACAAGACTGTCTTCGTTTACATTTTCCACCCAATCTGGATTATCCTCATCTTGATCTATCTCTAGGTTCATATTTTAATATGCAGTGGAGTTGTTTTGTGTATTTATTGTGCCCTTAATATGTCTAGATTATCTCTGTATTCCAAACAAAGGATTTTCATGAATGTTGTGTCAAGGAAAATTAAGAAAATGGGTGAATGCACATGTAAATAAGTAAAAGGTATGATTGATTGCAGAGTATGCCTACAGTAGTATAAGAATAGTCTGATGATTCCGCATTGTGTCTATGGGATTTTCAGAAAGATGCGTGTAAATACCACACACTTAGAAACAACATTTTCAGCTGAGTTTCACAATAATTCTGAGAAGCTAGGTTTACAAAATAGTATAAACCTCTACAAGCATATAAAAGAACCACACTCAAAATTTGCAGCCTAGAGCTGCAAAGAACCTTCTGGGTAATAACCATAGTAAAGAAGAAAAACATAAATACTTGTGGGTTAGGTCAAAGAGTAGCATTTTGATTCACAGATAAGACTGATTAAAGAAGGAAATGGAACACCAAGTCTTTGTAGGAGGGCAACCTGGAACTGCAACAGCTCATTTTGTAGCAAATGCATCTTATAAAATCACAACTATTAGAGACCTAGGTGTAGATAGGACCAGCACTCAGGGATGTCCAATAAAAATCACAGGGGCTTCAAGGGAGAAGAAGAAATGGTTTTAGCATTGGAAACTAAGAGTCTGGTCTGATTGATGCTAAGATCATGACTTGTGAGGACTGGCAAGGGACAGGGTATTCTTCCTGGCTGAACTATGTAAACACAACAAACAACCTTGAAGTACTCAACTTAATTCTGATTCATCCAGCTCCAATTGTTGTTCATTTATTTTTTGACTTGGCATCCGGACTGAAAAGAGACTAAGCTGACAGGCCAACATGCATCTCAGTCCATTTGGCAGTTCTCTTCTCTACTATAAACTATTAAATTGGCTTTGTGATACAAATCTGTCCCTTGCTAGTTTGAGCAGTGTGAGCCAGTTTTCTAGAGTATTATCTTCTCTGAAAAAAATATAGTTCTAGACCTTTTGAACTTTGAATCCAAAGCCTGGGATAAAGGAAGAAAGAAACCTTTTCTTGACAAGTGACCAAGGTCGCCACATACCACATTCATTTCACAGACAACTTTTTAATGTTGCTAGAAGAAAGCCTGCCTACTTATCTCAAATCTCTCTTGTGTACAAGTATCATTGGCAGTAACAAGGAGAAGAACAAATCAGAAATTAGTGACCCAATTCAGGAAAAAAACAATTTAGTTCAGGGAATTTTGTAGGTTAACTAGAAGGAACAAAGGCTTGGACAAACAAAAAGAGCTAATAACTTAGCAATCATCTCTAACTAACCAGTTGCTGAGTGCAGTTGGTGGTCTGGGCCATCAATATGCCAACCATAACAGACTAAATTTAGTGTAGTTGTTCCATCTTTACACATCAATCTGGATGCTTCCTTTCTTCTTGCTCACTGCACTGTATATTCCCTAGGCTTGGGAAAGTTTACAATTAATGCTTCAAAGGATTTTAGGCTCTCTAAAAGTAGCATTCAATAAATAATAATAGCTATTATGGATGATAATATAAATAACCAAAATATTTTATTTTCTAAGGGAACTCACCTGAAATTAAGATGAGAAAAAAACCTCAATTTTTCTTAAGCGACTAGTGTGATTTAATTATTATGTATATACATGTTCCTCTTTCACAGTCTACTAAAAAACAAGGAGGCAGTTTCAACTCTACTGATAGTGAGGGAAAGGAATCTTTTTATAGTGTGTCGTTTTAGGTTAATCATTTTTGCGACTCAATTGTTAGGTCTTTGCCTGAATTTCTATGTTATTTCACATTTATTTGTAGTTTGTAGTAATACGCTATAGTATGTATTATTTTAAACTAGCATTAATACTTTGTCAACTAAAGAGTAAGCTCCACAAGGAGAGTAAGAGAACCAAGAAATCTGGGCCCAGGGGTCTTTTCAGAGACTAATACTTCAACCAAGGACCATGCATGGAGATAAGCTAGAACCTCTGCACAGAAGTAGCCCAGTATCCAAGTGGGTTTCTTAGAAAGGGAAACAGGGACTGTCTCTGACCTGAATTGAGTGGCCAGCTCTTTGATCACCTCCCCCTGAGTGGGGAGCAGCCTTACCAGGCCACAGAGGAAGACAATGCAGCCACTCCTGATGAGACCTGATAGGCTAAGGTCAGATGGAAGGAGAGGGGTCCTCCCCTACCAGTGGCCTTGGAGAGGGGCATGGGAGGAGTTGAAGGAGGGAGGGTAGAATTGGGAGGGAATGAAGGAGGGTGATACAGCTGGGACACAAGGTGAATAAACTGTAATTAATATAAAAAATTAAAATTAAAAAAGAGTAAAAAATACAACACAAATGTGAATTGTGACATCATTTTTTTATTAGAACCAGTCAACACAAACTATTTTGAATAAACTATTTTACAGGCTCTGATTTCTGTCTATATACCCATAGAATATCACTGTGAACTATTTTATAATTAGTTACCCAATAAATACTTAATGAACTATTTTGTTCAGCTTTTTGTACTACTGGATGAAGGTGATGGAATTTAGAAGCATAATATATAACTTCTGTTCTCCAAGAGATGATTTATGAAATGTTGATCATTCCTAAAAATAACTAGAAAGCATAGCATAGTATATAATTAGCTATTAAACTGTGTGAACACAGTATGGATTTGTTTGGGAAAGTATGTAACGACTCGATGCTCAGTAGACAAATTTTGCATCTTAGAGCATGGAAGTAATTAAATCTAGGAATTTATGAGATAGGTTTTAAACAGAACCAGCGAAAAGGAATGAAAAGTATTATGAATACTTTTGGTATACTGTCAGCATTATACCTAATTTGTACTTATCATATCATTTAATACTTCCTATGAAGTAGGAACTGATATTATTTCCTGCCTTGCACATTACTGAATTGGAACACAGAAGAGTAATTAATTGCGTAAGATGGAAAAGCAAGTAAATAGGAAAGGCAATATTCTGGCCCAACTTTATTTGCCTCTACAACTCCATACAAGAACACTTCGAAGGCAAAAATGGATGATGAACACTCTTTTGGAGGACATATTAGTAATTTACATATAAGGTAAAAAGAATGTGGATTAGGACAACAATAATACAAATGATGATGAAGAATAATTTTAAAAGGATTATTTCTCTCTAATGGGCTCTTAAAACTATAATCAGTAAAATGAAAGAGGAAATGAACCCTCATGAATAGGAATAAATCAGTCTTTGAAGGGAGTCGATATTTGCATATTTTCCATTAAAAGGTTTTGAATTGTACCTTGAAGTGTCTTCTTTCAGGAAGAAAAATATAATTAATAACTACAAGAGTGGTTCATTTTCCTGAACCCCAGAGGACTGCTTCAGAGATATTTAATAGCACAGGAACACTTTTTGAGACCTCCTCTGAGGAACTTGCTGTCATAAGAACTAAAGTAGTTTTATCTGAAATCAGAGGATTTTCAGGAGAAATTATTTCATTAAGAAACACAACTGACCAGTTTGGTATATGTGCTGTAAATCACCCAGAATGATTAATTTTTACTTGATTCTGGATATTCTATTTAGTTTCCTATCATACAAACCTATGAACAATGAGCAAAATTCTTAAGGATGAGAAATGTAACACTATATCTTGTCCCACTTTCTTATTTTATAGAAAAAAAACATTCATTTGTAAATGAAACTGATAGTTATAGAAATTACACAATAAAGGGAGACTGTATATCTTCATCACCTTCATTAGAAAAAGTTTGATTTACTTTTCTTTTGAAAGATAATGTTTTTCTTCTGTGTTCCTGTCATTTAAAGAGTATTGTTTTACATGGAAAGACAGAAAAGGCAGATACCATATTTTGCATAAAAATGTGAAATTTATTATTTTGAACAATTAATATTTGGTAATGGAATAATAACAATAATGGCCTGAGTGGATCTTTCACACTAAAAGAAAGGTTTTTAGAATTGACACTGATAACACAGTGTGTATTCCGAGGGTCCAGAATTTCAGTTACCTACAAGTAGCATTTTTTGATTTATTGATATCACTAAGCATTTTCAATTTTTAAATTGTTTTATTTATTATTTATTACAATTTATTTACTTTGTATACTAGCTGTAACCCCCTCCCTCATCTCCTCCCAGTCCTACCCTTCCTCCCTCTTCTCCCACTGTGTACTTACCCCAGTCCACTGACAGGGGAGGTCCTCCTCCCCTACTATCTGACCCTAGCCTATCAGGTCTTATTAGGGCTGGCTGCATCATCTTCCTGTGTAGTCTGGAAAGGCTATACCTAAACCCCACCCCCAGAAAGAGGTGATCAAAGAGCTGCCACTGAGTCCATGTTAGAGACAGCCCCGGCTTCTCTTACTAGGGAATGTACATTGAGACTGAGCTGCCTATGGGCTACATCTGAGCAAGGGGTCTAGGTTCTCTCCATGCATGGTCCTTGGTTGGAACATCAGTCTCTGCAGGCCCCTCTTGACCAA